CCAGTGAAGCAACATCCTCCACAACTAGATTGAAGAACAAAAAAAACGACAGCAACTTGTCTGTTCCCCTTTCCCCCATTCCCCAGCACTGTTCCCATCCCCCCAATTCCCCAATAAAAATCTTTAAAAAAAAAAAAAAGAATTAGATGAAAAACTCATCTGAAAGGGCAAATTCAATTCCATGTCCATAGCAGGCACTCTTGATATATTCATTTGTTATTTGATAGTAAAGAACTGGTGAACAGAAAACAGATGCTCAGCTTTCACTGGGGGCAATTTAAATTTTAAAGGTTTCCCATCTGCCTCATGATTCAGGTCAAAGGTTAGATTAAGTATGAAAATTACAGTCTCTCTTGAGTAGCTATAGACAGGCTGGTATCTATTGGGTTGTCAGAAAAGTGATGATGTATTTTTTTCTATGTTTTTCATTGCAAAAATGCGTCATGACTTTTCCAACAACCCAATATAATGGGAATTTCCCTTAACTGGGGCTTTGAGATACAAGTACCCTTTGATGGCTCCATTTTCCCTAGGAAACTAGGTGGTTTTAAATCTGTGGTGTAAAGTACGGGGCTGAGGTGGGGGTAGAGGGGCTGTTGTGGGGAAACCAACACTGGGTGATGGGGGAGGGGATTTTGGAATGAGGAGGAAAGAAAGGGCAAGTCCTAGATTTATTTTTGTTTTATTTATACCTGGTTATAAAAGTACATGTGCAAAATGTGGAAAATTTGAAAAGTAAATAGAAAATAGAGAGGTAAGAGAATAATTATCCATACGCCTACCTCCCAAAGAATAATTACTACTAACAGTGTTTTTACTGTGTATTTCCTTTCAGTCTTTTTTCTGTTTTCTTGATTACCTGGTGGTTATGTATTACCTGTGCATTTTGCATTGTCATTTTTAATCTAATATTTCTTTATAGGAATTCACCCATGTCAATACAATATACACATCATTTTAAAGGTCTCATCATAGTCTGTCAAGTTGCAGGTGCCCTACTTCCACTGTTCTAGCGTTGTGCATTTAGATTATTTCAGGGTTTTTTACATTACAAATAATTCAGTACACCTCATTTTTGTACAGCATGTAAAAAACAATCTGTTGTCTCTTTAGGTATAGGTTTTCAAAAATGAAATTACTGGGTAAAAGGGTTTGGACATACTAAGCGCTCCTGATACATGGTGGTAAAAGGTTATGCCCATTTAGACATCACCAGTAGTGAACATGAGTGCCTTTTCCAATCTACGCTCGTCAACACCGAGGAGAATGATGGAAAAAAATCACTAATGAGGAAAAAATAGCCACTTGAAGCATTAGCTCTGTTTTCCCGCTTTCTATTGAGGTTCAATATTTCCCCACATATTTGTTAACCTGTGAATGTCCTTATCCCGTATAATTTTTTCATGTTATGTCTTTTTAGGGATATTGCACACCCATTGGGTATCTCTAAAACATACTGTGGAGTTTATATAAAAAGGCAGTATGCTAATTTATGAATCATGCAGGCTGTGTGAATACCAAGAGATAAGCGATCAGGTATCCAAGATTTCAACTCCAAGTGAAAAGAAATGAAGCCTTAAGTCATCTCAGAAAAATCAAAGTTAATGCCACAGGCATAACGAGGAGATGTGTTTTTATTTCAAGTTCCAAGCATAATTTTTTTTCTCACATTCCCTGAAAACAATCTCCCAAATTGGTCTGTGTTAAAGGTAATGGCACAAAATGACAAAAATCAGAGTGAACACTTTTTATAATGAAGCAAAGAACTAGGAAGCCAATTTGTTCCCAAGGAAAATAGGAACATCATTCTAGAATCAATTCAACCCCAAATGATAATGGCTGATATGAACAGGCTGGGCTCACTCTGAAAGTTTTGTTTCCTACAGAAGACCTTTAAATGTAACTCCTTTATGTAGTTATTTATAAGGTTTGAATAAATCTGTATAACAAATTGTCAAGAACGTAAACTTATATATGCTAAAAAAAAAATGACCAAAGGAATGATTCAGTAGGACTCCATTGGCTACATAACTTCCAAAATAAGTAATCTATCATTCATTTTATAGTAAATTCCTCTGTTTGCTAATCCCCCAAAGTTAAAAATTTTAAACTAACACTGACAACAGAAATACATTTTAATGCAAAATGTATGGAACAAAAGAACTGATGAAGAACTAACCATCTGATCATAATTGCAGTGACCACTAAAAGGGAATTTTCATTTAAAATTAAAATGCTCTTACTATAATAAATAACTAAACAGAACACTAAGACACGTAGGGTCTTTTTCATTGAGATGAAGATGAAGAAAGCTGCAGCTACCACCATTTGTACAGTGACTAGACACCATCTGGGTCTCACATTTCTAATAGGAGTCGCTCATTTAGGACTACACCATAGACGGGCCTAGGTGCTTGATACAGTTATTTACTTCTAACGCAATTCGTTAATATTTTTTGCATGAACGTCAACCCTCAACTCCTAGCTGAGTTCAAGCACAGTAACAGTTCTTCACGTTGAAGTTCTACCAGGTACTTCATGTTGACCCCTCTATTTTCTTCCCATCCATCAACAGATTCCTTCTCTCTTGACTTCCTTCAATATCTGGATTAGCGTCTATCATTTTAGTTCCTATATTTTTAATATCCTCGACTCCATTACCCTCTGACCTGTCTTAAACCCCTAAAAAACCCCAACCCAGGAAGAAACAGACTATCTGCTTTCCTCATGTCTGCATACGGGCAGCTGGGTGTGGCTGGAACAAAACACACAACGGGAATATCGGAAGCACACAAATTGATGATTAGTTACCAGAGCCCAGTTCGAAAGCCTGGATTTCCAAATTCTGTTATGTCTATTTCAAACCTACGCTGATCTCTTCCAACATCCAACTCTTCTGTTATTAGCACTTGACCGGACCCCAACTTGACCGAGACAGTGAAGGCTGAGATGAACGGTCCCCGCGTCTTTCACCCCACGCATGCGCTCAGCTACGCTTAACGTCTCCTCCCTCCCTTTGTTGCCATAGGGCTTTTCCTCCTACCAGGCTGCTGTGTGGAGACTCGGATGGGTGCCCTGCTCTGACGGTCATACTCAGAACGTGGCCAGCACCCCGCCCTGGATCATGGTACTTGAAAACCACTTGTGCCTCAGGTGGGGTCTCTGGGCTACTTTGTTCTTTATAGCCCACAGGCTGCTTCCTTGGCGACCCCATGGGAGCTTAGTAGCTGCTCCCATTAACTGGTGGTAAGGGACATAGCGACTAACCAAGGCAGGAGGAAGCACACCTGAGTGTGTGTGCTCATGACCAGCTACTCTCCGTCTCGCCCACTGTAACAGGTGTTATGGGGAGGATGCAACGAATACTAACGCGCTATGCTGATGCGTGAGGGAGCAAAGATTTAAGAATCCCAAGGAACAAATACAAGGCACTGGCTCATCAAACTAATCAGGTTCCAAATACTCAATATATCAAAGAAATGCTCTGCCAGCCACTGAGGGCAAACATCAGCACAGGTCTCTGTGAAGCTCCCCACAGGCCATTTCCGTCTCATGGAGATCACTCCCTCCCCACCCTTTCACATTACTAATTCTTTTTCTAATCTTTTGCCATCTGCTTTTATTTCTTGTCCTCTGTGGAGCTTTCTCTGAACTCTATGTCCACTCAGCGGATGGGAGAACTGGTCAGGCCTGTGTCACCATATACTGGAATCAACACTCAAGTATCCCGTCATCCGCCTAAGCAATCTGCCTAATTCACCATCGTGTTTCCTGTATCCAGCATAATTCCTAAGAATCCGATACATACTTATAGAACGAATGAATGAAACGATGAGACCAGATGAGAAGCGGAGCCTCTCATCCTCTCTGTGACTCTCCTGAGGTCTCCTTAACAGCACCTCACACAGAAGTAATCTCTTCACTGCAGTCAATACTCTACGCCGATTGATTAATCACGGCGGGTCCTGCCTGGTGAAGGGAGATGGTTGCCCCCCCGCTGAGGCCTCAGGGCACACTCCACCACTCACCTGGCTTGCTGGCAGACGCAGCAGACCCAGACCTTCTCATGCTTCTGGTAGGTGCAGCAGTTCTTGCAGACGTTGAACAGACAGTCCCCACACCGACGCTTGCTGTTGATGAGGAAGGTGAAGGGCGAACAGCAGCGCATGCAGCAGTGCTCCACGAACTTCTGGTGCTTCGAGAGGATGCTGCACTTGCTGCCTTCCTCCTCCAGCTTCTGCTTCAGCTCGCTGGGAAAGGGCGAGGAGAAGGAGAAGGAAAAAGACCAGGTCAGGGGGCTCTCCCCAGAGCATCCCTCCCCCAGCCCTTCCACAGGCCAAGACACATGTAGGCTCTTCCTGTATGGCAATGAAACGCAGAAAGATCAATCGCTTGACACAACATCCAGAGAGGAACCCCAAGGAAGGATTAATTTTGTGTCCTTCTGCATGCCGTGTTTTCTATGAGCATGCAAGAAAACCTTACTACTTATATTTCAGACACTGGCTTAAGATACATGTCATTATAAAACGAAGCACATCCTCAGAAAAGAAAACCTTTAACTTAACACCTTTTTAAAGGAGCAGGAGATGTGTTATTATGTTATTATGTTAAAACTTTAATCCTCACAACAGGCCTGCTGGGAATATGATCAATGCAGTCCTGGCTGGATTTAAGTTCCTGGAAATGGAAGCACCCAGGGACTTGAAAAGCTTTCAAATCAATGTGAGTCAACAAAGGTTCTCTGGGTGATGAGCAAATCCAAGGCACCGGATTCGGAGTTGGATGAAAGACAACGCCCTTCTTCCAAGGAGCTCTTGGTCACACCCGGCACAGGGCCAGCCTTATTAATGCAAAACATGACATTTGCATGCACTCTTGTCTACACACAGTGAGAAGGAAGGGAGGTTCTGAGAAGCAAGGGTACACCCCAGGCAGACTGAGTTACCTAGGAAATCAAGTGACTGCAGCTAACCCAGTTACTCTGACTGGGCAAGTTTGTGTTGTTTTTCCCTGCTACAAAAATGGACACCTGTGCAACTCATCTTAGAAAAATCTATGGTGTATGTGACGAATATTTTCTCCCATGTTGCACTTGTCTTTTCAACTTTGCTCATGGTGTCTTTCATCATTTAGAAGTGTTTCATTTTTCTGTGGTTATATCTGTCAGTCTTTTCTTTTATGGCTTCAGAGTTTTATGTCTTGCTTAGGAAGACCCATGGTACCCGATAGAATTATTAGCTGGCCTGATGAAGTCTCTCCCTCTTTAATACTCTATTCAGCCTCCTGAGACCGAGAAGAACATGGTAGTGACCTAGGTTAGACTGGGTGGTAAGAAAAGTCTTCTCCAGGGAGGTGACATTTAAGTTGAGTCTATAGGTTGAGAAGGGGCTACTGCAATAGAAAAACAAGCATAACAGGCAGAGGAAAAGAGCTTAATGTTGCGAGGAGGGGAGAGGACAGAAGCGCAAGACACAGGCCCTGGAAAGGAGCTTGGATTTTATTCTAAATGCAATGGGAAGTTACTGAGGGCTGTGAGCCAATTTCCACTGTAATATCACCCGCTGTCACATTAAGACTGACTTCCAGAGGGCTGTGCGTATGTGGAGGTGTGGAGAGCACTGCAGGGATCTACATAAAGATGGCTGAGGTTTGGACCAGGGAGGGGGCAGAGGAGATGGAGAGAGGTGGACAGATGCTGAAGGGTTTGAGACGAGGGCTGAGAGCAAGAACGAACCCAGAACCATTCCCAGGTTTCTGGCTTGTGCGGGGAGTGAAGCCATTTATGGAAAGTGGGAAGACGAGGGTGGGTAGTCGGGGCATGTTTTGGTGAAACCTCTGAGACCTCTGAAGAGATCCGCCAAGTGAACCACTGGACATGTGTTTGAGCAGCTCGGAGGAGGCATCTGGGCCAGCTGTGTTCGTTTGGGAGTCATCTTCATAAACATCGTTGAAGATACAAGAAGGGATGAGCCACTGTGGAGGGGCGAGTGCAGCGAGGGGAAAACAGGACGGCCTCAGAACAAGCCAGGGAAACCCCAGACATTTAAACTCTGGCAGAAAGGTGGAAGAGACTGACAAAGGGAAACACCAAGGACGATGTTTCAAGGATACAGTGGCTGACAGTGTCTGACCTGAGGGCAGAGAAGGGTCCAGTGGATTCGGCAACACGGAGGTCACCCTGACAACAGGCAGTTTGGGAGTGGGGCAGGAGCCATGTTGCAGGCTTAAGAGTGAACAGGAGAGGTAGTGGGTCCATCATGGACTACCTCTGCCAGCGATGTGGTGAGTGCTTTCAAGAGCAATGCTTTCAAGGCTCCAAAGGGTGAGCCCCATGTACGGAGGAATAACAGTCATGATGCTTTAAAAGTGTGATGTGCTTTTAAAATGTCATGGGTAATATCACTCTCACAGTGTGTAATTTCAGACAGAATCATTTTGTTGCCCCCTGATGGTGTCACCAAAATGCATTCAAGGCTAATAGAGCTCAGGGTACCACAGTAATGAGAATAAACACTTAACTATCCCCTGTGGATGGTAGAGTAAATAGACACACACAGTGTCTATTCTAATAGAAACGTACTGTGTGGTTACCAGCTCTAAAATGGAGGAGACTATTTGAAACCAGAACTTTGGATGGCCCTTGCAGCCCTGTAAGCGGGAGCACCCAGCCTGTCCTCCACATGGCACACGGGCATTGTCTGAAGGTGTTATGGGAGCCTCCTCAACCCGAATTTCTGCAGGCAGCTTGGAAAACAACGGATGCTGGAGAGAGGGTGAGGGGCACTGGCTGTGCTCCTGATGGCTAAAAGTTACTCCGCTCTTCTAAGCCTCAGTTTCCTTTTCTGTCAAAGAGGGCTATCAGCAGCATCCTGAAATGTTTGTTACAAAAGTAAATTTAAAAATGTACCTGAGTTGACCAGCAGGTGCCTACAAAGTAAAAGCCAGTCCACAGACATCTGGGATTATTTCAGTTCAAACCAGCCAAGCTTCCACTTCAGAGCAGGCACTCAGAAAAGGCCCCCACCTCCCCATTGGATTTTTTGGAATATTTGGCCAAAATTCATTTGTCAGGATTCAGGTAGCCAAAATCAGATCAGTCAACTAGGTAATTTGATTGAAAGGATGGTTTCAACAAAAATTAGTATCTCCAATTACTTTTTAAAAGAACTAGTGATTTCTTTTTATTCCCAGAAGGTGAGGGTTGAGATGGTTAAAATCCTTTCTGTCTGAAACATTTTTGCTAGTTACCATCTCTATATGAAAAGAATAATGAGATTGAAAAATTTGAGGTCAACTGAAAAGAGCCGTCGTTTATGTTTAACATGTTTAACCTATAATCTATGAAGAAATTTACAATCAGAATTCGGCAAAAAGAATTGCAAGAGGAGAGCACACTTACGGAAATCACCTCTATGGAACTCACTGAAATAAGCAAAAGGAATGGAAATAAATAGTATGGTCCATGTTTAATAAAATGAAGGAATTCCCACAACCCACCTCTGCCAAAATAGATGATGAAAGGTGCTTTGTGACATTTGGACAACTGGAGGGAAGATAGTGAAATCATACATGGAGGCATCCTGACCTTGAGCAGATAGAGAGCTCCCTAAAAACAAACAAGGGTACCCTAGGGACATTATATTCTTTCCTTGAAAAGCAGAGGACTGAGGGAATGGCACAGTCACATGAGAAGCTGACACCTTTGAATTACACTGCAGACTCCTATCAATGTCACAGTATATCAGAGCTTCATAACAAACCCAGACTTTCACCAGGAGCATGCAAAAGAGAAAAACCAAAGGGCATCCAGCCTACAGGAGGGCATCCCATCCACACCTCCGCATCGGTAGGCTCATCAGATCAGGTGGGAAAAGGTCTAGAGGAGACATCCCCACCTAAAGCTGCAACTGTCCCAGGTCACTCACTTTCCAGCTCCATCCCCTCACCTCCAAACAGCCCCAGATATCTCTGCTTTCCTAACCTTATGATAGTCTGGGGCAGGCCATTCCTGGGGTTTCACCAAGCAGTTTGATAATCACTATCTTCACAGCTTTCATTCACCACTCTGGAAAGTAGGGGGGTCGGCCACATTTCCCACCTCCTCAAATCAGCAACAAAGCACACAACAGAACAGACCCCCCCATTTAACAGCTATGAATGACCTCACTTGAGCAGGAGCCCAAGGGGAATGGAGGTATGCTGGTCTTGAATAAAGGAAGCTGAAAGAAAATACAGGTGACGGTAGCCTCCTTTTCGGGAAAGTCAGAATTCTACACATAATCTTTGGCAAGAAGGAGCATCTTATTCTCCCCCCCCCCAACTTTCCACA